GGTGCAGGGTTTACTGACAGCCCTCTGAATGGTAACCAGTACCTGCTGTGGGCCCTGAGCCCTTCACAATCAGCAGAGAAACTCAAACAGAACAGAAAGTTAACAGTTTCTCTTCCCCAATGGAAAGTCTCAACCTAGTTCAACAGCTTTGCTGAGCCCCTGAATTCTAGATTCTACTCCCCACCTAGCCCTGAAGTACTCACCTGTTCCTTCCCCATTTCTGATTTTCCAGACTCTGGACACTATCTTCCCACCGGGTTCTAAGGAGCTCACTCCCTCTCTCCTATTCTGATTCCTGGTCTTACCCTATCACCAGCCTGGCCCACAGGATCTGCCCTGCCCTCACCAGCATGTTCTGGCCCGCTGCAGCCCAAGCCCCGTCCGGTGACCAGCAGTGGGCAACTTCAGTAGAGAAGTATCACCTCTGAACGACGGCATCTTTCACTATGTTAGTTTCTGGTTTGAGGGCTTGTTTAACAAAATCAAAAGGGAGAATCATCTGATCTTAACAAATGAGTGTAACTACTGAAGAAAGCAGTGAAAATGAGGAAAACTTGTTCACTGACTATAATTAATGTTTTGGAAGAAAGGAAGAAACTAATTGTGATGACATAAGGTAGGGCATAAGGTAACTTTGGGTTTTACTGTATCAACTTGCCAGACTCACCTGGACTTCCTGAACTTTATGCTCCATTTTAAAATGAGAAATAATGGTGAAAAGCACTAGCAAGAATTCCAAGAGCTGAGAATTGAATATGAGCCTCTGTCATGTCATGTAAGCCCCTGTTTGAAGATCCTCTCTTGCCTTGCAATTTCCCATCATGCAGGACACAGCCCCAGCAGGGCAAAGGGACATGAGGGGCTGTGAAGGCAAAGCAAGACATCAGGACCTAGACACCACAGTGGACCCCGACGGCAAGCTGAACCTCAAGAAACCAGAGTGGGCAAAGCACTGCAGCACTCTCCCCACTTACACACTTTCCAGCCAATCTTGAATGCTCAGAGTTCAACTTCATGAATGGAGATGGCAGGTTGCCCATACAAACGTAAACTAAGATGAAGGCAGAGCTATGACTGGTACCCCAAACACATGCAGTGTGGTACTGTATCCTCTGCGAGAGGTGGCCCCACCTAATTCATCTGGTCAACAGTCAACTTAATTCAGTTAGAGGCAATGGTTCCCAATGTGTGGTTCCACGATCAGCAACACCAGCATCTCCCCAAAGCTTGTTCAAAATCCAAATTCTGATGCCCACCCAAGACCCGCTACATCAGAACTCTGGGAATGGGGACCAGTAATCTGTATTTTAACTAGTCCTCCAGGTGATTCTGATGTACACTAAAGTTTGAGAATACCAACTTGGAGAACATAACAAAAATGGCTTTATCCAAAATAGCTCTACCCCTCTCACAAATAAGTTATCAACCATAATTATTATTTATTGACCATCATTGATTATCATAAGGTCAGAACAATATATATATTTATTTTCCCTTTAAATACAGTTAACTTGGGATTATCCTCACTGTTTTGGGAAGCCAAGCAGCAGGCCAGGACATGCTTAGGCACACTCTTTTGCAAGAGATTTCCCATCCTCATTAGGCTTTGCTTACTCTGACTTGCTTACCAAAGCCTCTAGCATCTACAACAGTGTCTGTCACACATACTGACTGAATTAATAAATGAGCATGATAAGTGGAGGAGAAAGACCGAAGGGGCAATGTTGCCAGTCAGCACAAAATTGTTTGAAAACTAACAATCTCCTATGCCTGATTCGCAAAACAGTTAACCTACAAAGAGATGGCTGTAAGTCAATTGTGTTTCAATATAGACTCTCTGCTACAACTGGCTGTTGAGTCCCAGCTGCCTCCCCAGCCGCAATAGCTGATATGAGCAAAGATGACTTGTAAGAATCCCTGCGTCTTCCCATAGAGTTCAACCATCTCCTCAGAGGATTTCTGAACCAGAATTACCAAACTGGCACAATATGAGGAGTGAGCATTCTGCAGGATTCTCCTGTTGGAGTACTATTTTTTTAAAGGCAAACAAGAGTGAGACAAATTGGAAGGAAGCTGTATTTTTACAGCACTGGGGGACAAATCTAACCCCTTAACCAGAAATGGAAACGCGTATGATATCATTGTACTGCAGGTGAATTATTAATGCTTATAATTTTTTGTTGTAAATTAGGTATTCAGGAGGGTTCTTGTTGACATCATGTTTGACATCATAATGCTTCATCATTCTAAAAGCTTAATGAGATGTATTATCACTAGAAAAGAGAACAAGAGATCACACACACATTTTTGCACTCTGGGGAATTCAAGAGACCAAGTAGATAATGAGAATATGGTTTATAATTGATGTATAATGCTTCATCATTCTAAAAGCTTAATGAGATGTATTATCACTAGAAAAGAGAACAAGAGATCACACACACATTTTTGCACTCTGGGGAATTCAAGAGACCAAGTAGATAATGAGAATATGGTTTATAATTGATGTGCAAAGAGGAAATTTAAAAAAAAAGATGCCTACAACCCACCACCATTGTAAACAGGACCAATGGCAAAGACTTCACTTTTTCACCTGAGCATTTTGGAAAAGCTGGGACAAAGAAGAGGCATGACTAGCAATTATTCAGACTCTTAAGGCAGGAGAATTCTTATTCTAAAAAGAAAGGAAGGTAAAGCTTTTATAAAATTACCTCATGCACAAAAGAGTATAGAACACATGAAGACTGAAAAAATAACATAACACTGAATCATAAGCCCTACAAGGACACTATAGAATACATTAATGTAGTTCTGTGATAATAATTCTGCATAGTTTGTATAAATAACAACTCTGATCTCAAATTTAATTTCAAATATATAGTTCCTTAGATTTACACATATAAAGTAGTGTTGAATCACTGAACCGGCTGTTTCATTCCCAACATTCCTAGTAACGGGTTTGAATGAATTAAGCTGTTTTTGGAAATACTGTTGAAGCAGAGTTAAATTCCTATCCAGGTCAAGCCCTTTAACAATTCCAGCCAAGTAGCAGTGATATTTATACAAGTTTATACTAGCTGCTAATAATTGGGACTCATATTTCCTCCAGTTTTTACTCCTTTTCCCTCGTTAAGTAGCTCTTCAGGAAAGTATTAAACATGGAGAATGAATTCATTCATTATTCTTTCTTTCAATGAATAAGCATAGAGTACCTAGAGTTGCCAGGTACTAAACTGGGGTTCTTGCCACTCTTAAAGGCAAAACTACACAATTTCTATTAAACTACCAAACAAAAAGCAGCAGAGACTTCATAAGTTGTCACTCTTCTAAACTATAGCTTCATGTCTTCAACTTTGCTTTTCAACAAGTAGGCAAAAAGGATAGTCTTTAATGATCATATCTCAATTTTATTATTTTAAGTGTAACATATTCATCTTCTGAAATTGCTCCTAATGTTAACTTTTTGTGAAGCTGTGATTTTTTTTAAAAAAAAAAAAGCTTGACAAAAGAAAAATATATAATGTTCAGCACATGTTACAAATGTGCAACTGGTACTATTTTCATGAACCCAGGTCTTTAATCTTGGATAGTCTATCATCACAAAGTTAGCATTCAAAAGCTAGAAGAGCAAGCTTATACCTGATACATACTAGATGCTCAGTAAATGGTATTTTTATAATGATTATTATACTGTCATATTATATGATTATTACCAGAGAAACATTAAACCATAAATCAAATCTGTTAACCTTTATGCTACAAAATCAGATGCTGTTAAAGTAAGTTCACTAAAAGAAGCTTTTGGTCTTCCAGATTGAAGCCAGCACATGCCATCCTTCTCTTCACCCCTCCATAGAGGGCTGAGTTTACCCAGTGAAAACTAGGAGTCTCCCCACACTAAGCCAATTCTTGAACAACTTTTCAAGTATTACAATACAATTGTGTCTTTGCCAGGTAATCAATGGAATGGTTTCTGGTAATCTACTGACCGTGTACAAGCTGTGACTCCGTATTGAACACTAAGAGTCCTAGAGGTGTTTTGTTTCCTCTGCACAAGGGGATGTGCCATTGTCATTCTGTTTGCTGTAAGGGTAAAATGCCCTGTGGCCAGATTTATACAATGAAAACCTTCTTGGATTTAATCGTGTTTTGAGAACATGCAGGAAGGCACTATTAAAATAATAGTTTTTCTTCTGTTATTAAGAAATATCTAGTGACTGCTTTAATCATTTCAACAATATTTTCCACTTCCTCAAAGCTCCATTCTCTTTAAGGATGAGATGCGTGGATAGAATTTTCATCTTCAGGCAGCTGCACTACAAGGCGCTTCCCCCACTCTAGCCCAGCTGCCCCTCCAAACTCACGGTCCTGTTCTCCCAGTTAATGTCCAGGATGCAGCCAACCCAAAGAAGTGATAAACAACAGGTTCCACTCTGGTTCTCTTCCTTCAATCCCTTCCTCCACCTCTCCATAAAACGCAGGCACCCTCATTCAGTCACAAATCCCCATACTTGGTCCCCGTGGCTAAGACTCGGTGCGGCCAGGCTGGTTTTCCCAGGTGAAATCTGAATGCGAGGAGGTGTGAAGTCCCTGCACCGAGTCTGCACCATTCACCTAGAAGGTATGCAAATCCAGCCCAGGGCTCAGATTTCATTCAGTCGGACTCTCCACCAAAGGGTCTCAATGGTACGCACCCCTCCCGCAGTTAACCGAGCCGACGCCTTCCTCGCTCAGTGAGAAACCGGCCAGCACAACCACTTCCCACTGCGCTCTTTTCTCCACCCAGTCCCCCAGAACCGGCTCCCAGGAGCCCCCAGGAGTCTTTCTGCTCACATTTCCTGGGCCCTCATCACCCCCCTCAAACGGAAAGTAAACTCCTTCTAGTGACAACCTCTCCAAACCAGCCGCGTCACGGCCGCCCAGCTCCGCCGGAGCCCCCTGCCCGTACGAGCCCCGCCCGGACGGGGCGGGTGGCCCCCGGCGAGCCGGAGCCTGGCGTTTACCTTGACGCTGGCGTAGCTGGTCTGGGTCTCGGCCTCCGCGCTGCTGCAGCAGTGGCGCCTCCGGCCCCTGCAGGTGGTCGCGGCGGAGGCTGCAGAGTCCGCACTGCTGCTGCTGCCCAGCTCCACGCGGGCCCGGCGGACGCGGGCGGCGCCGTGGGCTCTGGACGCGCGGCTCGGGGCGATGGCGTCGGCGGCGTCGGTCTGGACGAAGAGGCCGTGCAGGGGGACCGCGGAGCCCTGCGACACGCTGGTGGTCTGGCGCGGCGAGTTGGACTCGTCCGAGTCCCGGCAGTAGATCACGCCGCTCTGCGAGACGTGGATACTGGGGGCGCAGCCCATCCCGCGGCCGGGCTCCCCCGCGCGCCCGTCCGCGCGCCCGGCCACCCGGACCCAGCGGCCCCGCTGCCACCTGCAGTGAGGGGGCGGGCGCCTCGGCGGCGGCGGCGGTGCCCACACCGCGCGTCCCCGGCCTGTCTGGCCGCCGCTCCGTCGGGCTCGCCGCGGCGCTTCCCGCCGAGCCTCCGGGGGCTGCGCGCGTCACCCCAACTTTCCCTTCTGAGCCATCGTCCTCCCCGAGCGGGGGAGCGCGCACACACAGCGCCCCGCGCGCACCGGCGGCCGCCACGCTCCCCGCCGCGGCGCCCCAAACACGCTCCCCGCGCCTCCGCCTTCCCCTCCTCCCTCGGCGCGGCCCGCGCCGCCGCCCAGCTCGACCTCACCGGGCTCCCGCGCCCGCGGCGCCTGGGCCAGGGCGCCCGCCCTCCCGCCTGCACCCTGTTTCCCCACTTTCAGTCCGCGCGCGTCTGCCCCGCCTCGCTCCCACCCTCCCTCCCCCTCGGTGCCCCCGCTCCTCCGCCGCCGCCGCACCGGCCCTGCTGCGCCCCTCGGCCCCGCCCGCCGCTCCCGGGCTGGGCTAACGTGCCCGCTGCCGGGCTCGTCCGCTAGCTCCATGCCTTGGCGCCCTCCCCTCCCCGCTGTCCTGAGGCCCGGTCCCTTCTGCACCCACCCCGGGCCGCCCAGCCCCTCTTCCCCTAGCCGCGCGCACACCACCAGGGCCGGCCCTGAAGGGCTGTGCAGCCTTCAACGCAAAAAGCCGCTCGCGTTTCACGGACACATTTTAACACATCCCTGATCAAAACACTAGGGTGCCTCTCCCGAAGTGGCAGGGACCCTACAGCCCAAGCTCACCCACCTGACCTGCTCGCCTCTCAGCACACCCTGGGAGTTAAGGAGAAACCCGCCACCCCTCCCTCCCCATAACCCCGAAGGCTGGCTTGAGTGGCGACCCAGTCTTCAGCAGTTGATTCATATCTACTCAACATCTGGAGGTGCACACCCAGGGATGGGAAGCCCTGCAGAGGAAGGAACCCTTCAACATAAATTCCCTTAAGAGCCAAGGAAAGGGCAGAAGCAGCTGTCTGTGCGGTGCTTCGCTTTCTCCTCCAGTGCACACCTCTTCCCCGGGTGTCACCTAAATTTCACCCAGGCTTCCACCTCCTCCAGCCCCCATTGCCAGGGGCTCTCCCTCACAGTCTGGGTTGGGCAGTCAAAACTGCCTGTCCTCACCCCTGAATGAGGCACACACAGGCCAAGCTTCCCTCAAGGGGAGTAAGAATACGTTAAGAAGCACTGGTTCTTCTCCCCATGACGTGAAATCTGGGTTAGAGATTCGAGGCACGCTGCCCATTTTTTCACTGGTCCTTGCAGTGGTTGCTGTGTGCAACCACTCTCACAGGGGATAAAAAAAGACTGGCTACGAAAAGGATCAGTCAAGAGCTGCTCAGAAAGGCCAGGCCAGGAACACACAGTCATAATGCTAAGTACAAAGGAAGGATCTAGTTTGAAATTATTTCTTTGGTTCTTCCCTTCCTTTCCCTCCCCATAACATCAACTTTTGGAGTGACTGGATGAAGACTTCAAATGACAGCTTCTAACCTTCACAGAGAAGCAAGGTGTAACGTCAAACCCCTAATTCAGGTATAGAAGGCAGAAAGAACTAGTCTAACCTGATTCTTCTCCCTGTTTCTCTTCTCAGTTTAGCACTCCAACTTCCCAACTTTCTGGTCTCTCTGTCTCTCTTTTTTCTTTTTCTTTTCTTACCACATGAAAAAGTCCATCTCCAGCTCTTGCAGGAAAAAAATCTATGCTGTATTTTCTAATGGCAACTTCTTCATAAAATTTCTGTGCAGGTTGGGTTCCCCAAGAAGCAGATTCGGAGACAACCTTTAGCAGGCAAAAGGTTTATTAGGAAGCATCTTGGAACCAATATCTGGAAGGAAAGGAGGGAGGAAGGGAAGATGGGAGGGAGGCAAGGAGGCAAAGAGAGAGGAAGATTGATCAGCCGGAGAAACTGAGCTAGGATACAGTCCCTGGGAAAGCCTCAGGCACCCCTGCAGGGAGGTTTCTGAAACTGGGATGGTGCTTCTAAATTGTCCTGATGGGGGGTCTAGGAGGATGGGCTTTACACCCCCAACAGATCAGTAGTTACTCAGCTGAGGCAATCTCCTAACAAGCAGGACAGCTGAGCTGAGGGCTTTCTGCTCACAGCTCTGCCCAGCTGCCTTCTTTTGGGCATTGTAGCTTCTGCCAGTTTCCTTCCAGGCTGCCTGGGTCCATGCTTCCTTGTGCCTATCTAGGCCTAGAAGGACAGCGCATTAAATGGTCAAGACTGAGACACAGGGACAGTCACCCATTTGAAGCAGGCCTAAGCCTGATGGCCGCCACCTGCTCTCCTTCCAAGGGACCATCCAGAATCTGGGCAGACATCATGAGAGGTAACAGCACCAGTCTCCAAACCAACCCCTCATGTAATGTGAAGTCGGGAGTTAATCATGCCTAACGCTTATCTATAATTCTTTTACATACACCCATTTCAGTTATTATTCTTCATGGAGCTTTCCATGGCAGCCCTTTTTGATATGTACAGCCATGCTAACTCATGCCACATGTCTACTTTTTCAGTTTTCTCTAGGAATGTGGTTATGATGACGAAACTGCCCCAAGAAGAGAAATAGGCCATTCACACACTGAGGCTTTTGAAGAAAAGAAGTCTATGACAAAACAGAAATTATAACCACTCTTCTGGTGGAGAACATGAGGAGCTGACTCATGAAGGGATAGCCACTAAGAAACAAATTCAGATTGAACTTCCTACATTAAAAATATAAAAAAAGATGAAGACTTAAGAGAGTAGATAACCTGAAGGCAGCTCCTGAGCGGGACTGAGCTGCCCAGTGCACTCACTGAACCCTGCACCTTAGGACCAGTGCCTTTCACTGAATGCCATAACTCTCAATAGAAGATGGAATAGGGTAAATGCACCAAGTATAAATTTTCCTTCCCATTCCCAGAGCAGCTGATAGTTTTAAAACCTTCCTCACACATGATTTCCACTGCCAATTCTGGCTTAGTGAAAGGAAAAAAATTATATATCCCTATTATCTCTACCAAGTGCTCTCAGTGGGTGTGTGTAACCTGCTGCCATTGCTGGCACAGATCATCCTCAGTCTGCAAGTGGAGGAGCAATGGTTTAACTAAAATCAGCCCCTAGCTTAGCTCTGCAGCCTGGGTTCTTGCTCGGGTAAGTGATTTCTGGACCGATTCCCATGTCACGATTTCAATGCATTCCAGGATAACAGCGAAGTCTACAAGCTCAGACACTGCAGATAAAATTTAGGCTCAAGATACAGAATAAGGACAGAAAAACCAATATTGTCAAAATATTAAATTAAGTGAAAAAAATTTAGTTACAGTTAATGTCCAAGAAACAAATCAAAAGATTTGTTCCTGCTCCAGTAGAGCCTATATTCTAGTGGGAGAAGACAGACAATAAGCATAATAATAAGTGTCTTCACTTATTATTGGAATTGTCTTCAAAAACGAAATCTCAGATACATCCAGGGTCAGCTGAATGGCCTGTATGTTTTATATTGATGTCAAATAAGAGCTTACTTCAGATTATCACCCAGAGCCACTGCAAGATTCTGAACAATTAAGGTCCCTTCCCATTCTAAAATGACATGAGTCTTCCAGAATTCCTCTAAAGAAGGAGAAACTGTGATAAATGCATTCTGAATGATTCTCAACAATAAAGGTTAAAACAATAGCAGCTTTCTGATTGACCTTTAGATAACCAAACATTTAATCAACTAATCAGTCTTACAGGGCTTCTGGATTCAAACTACATTCCTAATGGTGGAGCTTATTGGAAATGTACCCACCCAACATGTGAAACGATGCAGTTTGATAGGTAGCCCAGAACAGTAGAAGGTTCAGCATGAGAAGGGTGAATCTGAAGGCCAGACGTACCTGGTAGAGCTGTACCTCAGGCAAGTCACTTAGCCTCGGGGCCTGCATTTCCTAGACAATCCCAAAGTCCCTAAATCACCAATGTTTGGGGATGCTATGACATTTTTACTTCCTTTTATAAAATTATGTTTAATTTAAGAGAGTGGGGTTTTTGAACTGAAAGAGTGGTCTCAAACCTAACTAACTGCACCTCAGAATCACCCTAAGGAATTTGTCAGAAACCCAAGTTCCCTGGTTCCATCCCAGAGACTTGGATTCAGGGGTCAAGGACAAGCCTAGCCTCTGCCTTTTCAAAGAAAGGGAATTCAGTGTAACCTTTTCACAGCCTCCTTTGAGAACTTATAGAAAAAGAGAGAGTCCTCATAAGAGCCTACAAAACCCCACCTGATGTGGCCCCTGCTGGCCTTCGAGCCCTCTTCTCTCTCTCTTCTCCAGCAATGCCTGCCTCCTTGCTGTCTCTTCAGACCTATCACTCACTGTCAGCCAGGAGTTCTTCTCTTTGCCTGTGAAGCTGTTCTGACGCAAACCGTATGGCTAGCTTCCTCCCTTCCCTTAAGTCTCTGCGCACATGTTGCCTACACAATAACTGCTGTTTAAGCTCACAACCCACATACCTCCATTGTCCCCCTGTCACTCCTGATTCCCCAGAGCCTGCTCTGTTTCTCTTTTTCTATAGAACTTATCACCTTCCAACTTATTATATAATTAGCACACTTATTATTATGCTTATTGTCTGTCTTCTCCCACTAGAATATAGGCTCTACTGGAGCAGGAATTTTTTGGTTTCTTTTTCACTGATGGGTCCCAAATTCCTAGAACAGTGCCTAGCACATAGTGGGTACTCAACTGTTAAACAAATACATTTTTTTCTCCCACTTTTTCCTCTCTTGCCTTTTGTTCTCAACTCTTATAACTCAAAATTGAAAGGGTTTGGAAGGGTTTTTTTTTAATTTTCTTGTGTAGAGTTTTATGGTCTATGTTTTTCATTTTTAAAGTTAGTGAATGTCTTGACATGATAATCCTCCTTTTGATAATATAAATCAGAAAAAGTCAATAGAGTAAAGTAATGATTTATGCAAAGATGTTTGTAGCAACACTATTTACAATAATGAAACTGGAGTAAGCCAAACATCAAATACTTAAGAGTGGCCCAACAAACTATACTAACATGTTAGGACACCACTATTTGAATATGTATAAATGACATAATGTTAGGCTTAAAAAAACATAGTATATGTAAATTGATTACATCTATGAAAAATGCATGTACAAAGTAATATGGATAAGAAATTGGAGCTCAACAGATTTCTTTTAGTGAAAAACTGTTTCAGTAAATATAAAAACAATGTAAACAAATACA